CCACCAATTACACGACGTGAAATTAGAAGCCGCCAGTGGCATGTCGATGCTCAAACTACCGCTGATCTATCGCGTATTCTATTATGTGCCCGTCCGTGTCAAACATACGCCGATCGGTGATTGATATATTTTTTCAAGCAGTCGTGATGTAGATGTGTTACAATAGCAACGTTCAAGCAATGCATGTATATGTATTACAATAGTAACATTTGTAATCTCATTTATACATACATATACACCGAAATTCGATTGCGTATACGTAAATAATAAAATCTATAACTCGCTTTGACGCAAAATCGACATGAATACAGTAAAATTAATATGACACAAAATACCGATGCTGTTACGTGAAATGATATTTATTGCTTTTTTATATAAATTGATAACGATTTGATTAATATTAAAATTCGTGGCTTTAATAATTGTAATTAATACGCGCGTATTTGTGTTCAGTTCAAGGAATTGTTAAGGAGTTCTTTATATTACATAAAAAAATAACTTAATTATTCATAAATAAATAACTACTCTAATTAAATAATTAAATAACTACTCGTTGGTTAAAGACAAAAAAATTTACCATAGTTTTATTAAAAATTAAGAAAATCTACAATAATGGTAATGTAAATATATCAAGATATAATTTTTTTATTTTTAGTAGATGTTATTGTAACAGAAGAGAAGGATGCCAATAATAAAGAATAAAGAAAGAATATTAAAAGAAATTAGTTTTTACTTTTTTTTCATAATATACAGTTTAACCATACCGTTACAGAATTTATGATATCATTGTGTTCGTAATCGATTTAAAAAAACAAGAATTTTTAAAAAATTATTTATTTATCATAACAAGTACGGACAGAATCATTTTTTTTTTGTGAAAGAAAATTGTGCATTTCTTCATCGAATTTCGTATGGAAAGTTTGTGGAAACTTTTAGCGGGCACACATAATAATATAATCCTCGATATTTAATTCATTATTATACGGCACTATGTGACTGTCCGTTATTCCTCTTTAATACGATAACTGTCTCCGCGAAATTCCGTCGTCGTAGCGCCCACCCAGCTTGCGGTACCGGCATTCCCCGGCGCTCATTGACGCTCTCGTGGTGCTGAATAAAATGACGACGCTAACTCGCCGCGAACCGTACGTTGCACGCGGAAGAGCGGGTGACGTGTCAGTCGATATAATCGCAAATGGCAACGGTTGTGGGAGGAAATGGAGGAAGAGGTTTTGGAATAGGAGGTTTGGAATAGAATAGCGAACGAAAGAGTGAGCGAAAGACGAGAAAGACAAAAGCGCGTTAGGAAAAGCAAGGATGTAACAAGTCAGACTGAAAGGACGGACGGAAGAGGAAGGAGAGGAAGAGAGAGAGAGAGAGAGAGAGAGAGAGAGAGAGAGAGAGAGAGAGAGAGAGAGAGAGAGAGAGAATGGGGAAAAGAGGATCAAAGAGAGAAAGAGAGAGAAAGCGTGGAACATCCGTGAGGTGTGGTGGCAGGCAGGTGAGCGGGTGTGCGCGTTTCACGTTGGCATTTGCTAATGGCGATACTTCGCGGAGGAAGGGAGAGGGCGAGTCTCTTCTCTCTTTAGGCTGAAGAAGAACGAGGAAGAGCCGAGGAGAGGAGATTGAGAAAAAAAGAGGAACGAGCGGGGGCGAAGGGAGGATTCGCCCTGAAGAAAAGAGTCACCGGGCACGGTTATGCCAGTATTACCCTTCTTGTTCGTAGCGCCAGGGGCTCAGACGAGATACCCGGGCCCGACGAGAGTATATACGAAGGAGTGCAGGACGCGAGCACACCCACCTACGATGGGCCGAGCAACGATATATTACTCGCGCGCCTCGTGACACCTCACCTGCCGGCTCGCTGCCTCTCTCTTCCGTTTCTCCTTCTGCCGGCCTGTCTGCCGACCTCCTCGTTTCTCTTTCCTTTTCTCTCCCAGACCGCGTTGTCTTGGTCCGCGTTTCCTCGTGGGTGGATCGCAGCCCGCGGCTACATTTGCAACCGCGGAACAAAGTCTGTGTCCGCGGAGAAGCTAACAGTCCACCACTAGCGGACATAAAACGCTGCTTATCCCGATCGACTTTGATTTCCGGAAACCGACAAAGAAAGACCGTTAATTATCGCACCGATTACGGAAAGTCAACTAGTCGAATAGATTTAATTTATCGGAGCACGCGTACGTGTATCGTAATTCATCGTCGTGCGTGCATTGCCACGCATTTCACAAAGACAACAGCGACGAGATGTTGACGGTTAAAAATCTTACAACTTGCTGTTAAAGATTTTTATAAAATTTTATGTAGACAACGCGTAAAACGCGAGGGATGATTGTCTCGTGAATTGGATCGACGCTTTTAGCTCTCGTCGAGTATCGGAGAGAAACTCGACACGGCGAATGGGTGCTCTTTACCTCCCGCGGTCCGACACTAATATCCTTACCGTATTGCCGTATCGTCGAGGAGGCTAACGTTGCGCAATGCTTTCCGTCGGGATACGAGCGAGCACCTACTTTCTCGGAGCGATAAAACGGATGAATTATTAATGACGTTAATGACCGCGCGCGATGTCTGTCGCCGTTTGATAAGGCGCGCTAAGTCTCGGGTGAGAGTCGCGAGAACCTTCGAGTTCACCAACGGTGACGAAATATTTTTTAGGGAGATTAAAGAAGTTGAACACTATAAAATACATGTATAATAGCTTCGTTATCTACTTAACCATGATATGTATTCTACAGCGGACAACGGAGTTTAACTCCGAAATGATAGAAATCAGCAAATACAAGATAGAAGGAACGAAAGAGTTTTAAACGAGAGATATCGCGATATGCGTTTGTACGCCATTAAAATCGTAGCAGATAGACATTCTTTCGCCGAACGCCGCGGAACTTCTCAAGCGGAACGTTGTCGCCCGAGAAAACGGTTTTCCCTACCTTCGCCTGCCGACGCGGAATTTTATCCGCGGCGCAACCCCGCCGCATTCCGTCGCGCAAAGTCGAAATCCCGCGGCCACGCGATGCTGAAGGAAGAGGCGGGGTATGAGAAGCCGGCGACATTTAACTCGGCAATCGGTAGGACACCTGTGACATTTCATTAAGTGCCGCGCTCGGCCGCGCACGGCGCGGCAAGGGAACGACAGCGCGTGGATGTGGACGGGAATAATAAAAACGATGAGGGACGGCGGCGCGCATGGAGAGAGCAACGCGCGCAGCGAGATGTGAGAAGCGGCCGATGGAAACGGCTGAGAAAAAGAAGGCAGGGGAGAAACACGCCGGCCGGCATTCGCGGCGCAAAGTGGATTCATTATGCGGTGGTCTCGCGGAATCTGCATCGCATTTGCATCGCGGTAGCAGTCGCGGCCGTACACGAGGAGGACACGCGGACATTAGTTAGTCCGCGTCCTCGGATGCCGCGGCGCGCATTTAACATCGGTAACGGTCCGCGAATCGCCATGTCCGCTGGCTGCGAAAGCATCGACTGGTCGTTTTCCGGACAACGCGACTATACGATCCTCCCTAAACGATCGATATTCCGCGACTGTTCATTCGATAAGCGATTGTCACGGAAAAGCAGAAAATTTGTTAGTTTTGCAAACAAAATCATTTAGGAATGATTAGAAATAAAAGGAATAATAAAAAATAAATAATAAATGTAACAAACACTTTCGTTAAACTATAACTGGTGTAAACATATATATATATATATATATTGAGTTTTTTAAATGAAGAAAATCACTATAAATCGCTGCTAAAGCGAAGTAAACTTCATCAAAGGATTAAGTGATTGAAAGCCGCGTGATTGAGAACAATACTTTTGGCATAATAATAAATGATCTCTTAATGAGATAGTTAAAACGATCCATTGCTTACGAAATATTAATTACATTTGAATTTGATCCAATGTAATATATGTTTTTTAAGCGCATTAAATTGTATATTAGTTATAACACATATTTGTATACAATTTTGAGTACCATGGGTGTATAATACACCGCTTCGTGAATTTTAAATCGCACTGTTGCATATTTTAAATCAGATTCGGTTAACCGTAATTGACTTTCCGCGCGATATTAATTTCAGCAATAATTTCGTGCTATTAATTTAATGGCATGTTCAACAATGGCCGATTTCACACGGCTCGAGCGTAAACACCCACCTTCGTCCGGCCGTGCATAACGAGCATGTATGCATTCTCCCGATACACGCGTAAATCACGTAAAAGTATCGGATCTCTGCGGATTACGCGTTAATTTAATCGATCTCATAAACCTGCATTAACACTTAAATATCGCGATCTCAATCAATCACCGCTATAGTATCGATTACACTAACTAAACTATACCATAATGTTAATGATGCAGGAAATCGACACGATGTACAAAATGATTATCATATTATTGCCTAAAGGGTTTATATTTAAATCCATGTTTATATTTAGTAATTTAAGTTAAGTTTGTATGTATTATAAGATGCATGCCTTTTATCGGCTATAAAACTTAGAATATGTATATTAAGTTTGAAGTTTTAGATCTAGTTTACTTTATTACTAGTTACTTTAAGTCGGACTCTTAATTGTTGGATCTTTATTCAAATTTTAAGCGAAGCGATAAAAATAATGAAACAAATATTCTAATTAAATAAAAAAATGCACGTTAATGATAAATATAATCATGACATGTTGTTATAAACCTGTTATTAAATGCATGTATTTTTTATATGCACGGGATATTTTTTGATTACTTACAATAAAGTGTAATGTATATCATAATTATAAAACAAAAGTAAAAAATATCTTGCAAGTACATAATGTAGTACAAAAAAGAAAAATTAGAATATGTATGTCTATTATTAATATCTTCTTATCATTATAAATTTTAATAGTTATTGCCATTGAGACGCAGAGATGAGATAAATATTACAATATTACAATATTAATTAATATAATTAATATTATAATTTATTAATAATCATACATTATAATAATTAAACAATTACTTATTTTGCCTATATTAATTGTGGCGGCAAATTGTACAGATTTTCTGCACCTTTTCGCAGCATAACTTGACTGTTTGCAATCTTGTTTGACTTCACTTTGATTTTTTTAAAGTTCTCTCGACTCGGCGGCAACTCTGTTATTGCACGCAATTAAGAGTCAGCCTGTGTAAAACGGTGAACTCGAATGGCCGAATTGTAATTGCCATTATTAAGTTTCCGGGAACTTCGCGATGCAGCTTTATCGAGGGGCAGCCTCGCGCAGACTGCACGGCTTGCACGCTGTCATTGGCCGAGACGTTGGCTGAGCCCCTCCTCGGCGAGGTGCCGGTAATTAAAGATATTATCAACGGTGCGTGTCGCCCCGATGCACGTGAGAGGCGACTCATACACACGTGTGGGCACGTACCATGCCGCGTACGTGGTACGTACCCGACAACGACGACGAAGACGACAACGGCGGTAGGAAACCATAACGCGGTGTATCGCCGGTTTTGCCTTGTTGTGAAATCCACGAATAATTGCGATTCGTACTAGTCGTATTCAAGAAGTTAGGCATCGGCGTGATGTTGCTGGTCGACTTCACTTTAGAAAGATCACAATTCTTTTATCCAAATAAACATTATAAACTACACAATGGATGTAAAGAAATTTGAAGAAAAATATTTATTTCCGAACTTTATCTTTATTTATAGAGGAAAGGACATAAATTTTTATAGGACATAAATATATAAAATATATGAAGTAAAAGAAGACACTTCGTTGTGGACTATCTCGTGCGGTTTGCTAATCGTATTAATCCTCGCGAATACAAAGCGCAGATGTAATATAAATTGTTATTACTTATGCATGTATCGGATAATACACATATGTATTCGCGAGCGCAAAGTACCGGTAGGATATTGAGCCATCATCGCAGATCCGGGAATTGTGCGGGGCGGTCCATAAAACGCGGCTCCGCGTTAGGCCTCCGCCGGGGTAATTTACAACGCTGGACATCGCTGCCGGTTTATTACCAGGTTGTTTATTTTACGGTTGCTATATCTGTGTGCGCGTCTTACAATCTCTCTCTCTCTCTCTCTCTCTCTCTCTCTCTCTCTCTCTCTCTCTCTCTCTCTCTTTGGAGTCTTCGACACATCTCCGACGACCCATGCACGGCTCATCTCTTTCCTCTTCCTGAACGTTCCTTCCTCTCTTTCTCCCTTTCTCTTTTCCTGCGCTGCATCTACCGGAACATACTGGACGACGTTGGTCGTCCTTTTGCCATGCTTTCAATGACCCGCAGCAGCCTTCCTGCTGTCTTCCCTCCCCCGCGGCCTCCTCCTCACCCTTCGCTCTGATCGGATATTGGATGGTTTCTCATCTTTGCTTCGTATAGCTCTACTTGTATTTTACTACGTGGCTACGCGGGGAACGCACTGTGCATATAGTTGCAAATTGCGTTCTAGCAACTGCCGTATACGGCGGAACGACCGACGGGATTATCTCCGAACATTGTTTAGGTGGTTACCCAGCTGTCCGCGGAGAGCGGCTGAGCTGCCCGAGGAGAGAGAACGAAGCATCGAGATCTGCATCGAGTTGGAAATCGATAAAAGTACGAAAAAAGCCGTAACCATCGAACGGTAATGACGTTTTTGATGAAACCCACGTTTTGCATGATCGACGAATCATCATTGGGACTGTCAGCGCTATTATCGAGTCTCGAATCGCAATAAAGTCGCAATCAAATCAAACGAAACTTCTTTGGAACGTAGATAACTCTCTAAGGTGAACGTGCACCTGTCATTGTACGAGGTCACTCGCGAGAGAGCTACCTACATCTATCATCGGCGCAGTCACGATCTCAGATACTCGGGGAACGATCTCTACCGGTCGTTAATTCCCTTAGAATTACTTCCGAACGTTATTTATGAACCTCCTCCGTGAAGAAAAGAAAATAAGAAACCGCTTATCATGCGATAGAAATTTGTAAAACTAAACAAAACAGTTGAGGATAAAAGTACGTAGTGCTATCAAGAAATCGCCTTACATAACACGCGAAAAGATGTTATGTGAGAGAACTACCTGCCTCTATGGAACGGCGCAGTCACGAGTTCAGAAATGGCGGGAACGAAGAGACTAGATTATCTTTGGACACGCGCATTAATCTCACTAAGATTATCTCGGCACATTGTTACCGGCTGTTCGCGATGAAACTCTTCGAAACGAAGATAAAAACATCGGGACGTTTTAGTATTAGAAAAGGTAAGTCGATTAGATAGACGGATAAGAAGCTCGGCGGTTGTTCAAATTAAACAGCGGCGGGATATGAACTCGTACTTAACAAAAGTAAAATTAAATCAGCTCGATTAACAGAAGAAGTCTTTTCATTAAAATTTAGCTCAGCCTTTCTCAGGAGACCCGCGTGTAATTCTCCGCGCCGTTCATCGCGCGATCGCAGAACCTGTCGAGCGATTCTCTCGTACATGCCCGAGAGGATCGAGCGGCGAGCTCCCGAAGGGCGGACGTGCACTTGCCGGTCGCATTGCGCGAGGTCATCTACAAGATAGAGGGCCGGAGAGAGAAAGAGAGTGAGAGAAGGGGAGAGAGAGAGAGAGAGAGAGAGAGAGAGAGAGAGAGAGAAGAGAGAGAGAGAGAGAGAGAGAGAGAGAGAGAGAGAGAGAGAGAGAGAGAGAGAGAGAGAGAGAGAGAGAGAGAGAGAGAGAGAGAGAGAAAGAGAGAGAGCGAGCTACCTGCATCCGTGCAATCCGGTGCAGTCACGAGCGGGCCAAGTAAAGAGACGGAGAGAGGGGGCGAGAGCGGGAAACGAGGCAGAGATCGACCGGCCGACCATTCCTGTCTACCGTCCGTATTGGGCCGGGAGAACCCGCGAGATTATGACCGCGCGTATAGCCGCGCGGCGGAGAGCGACTTCACCGCTTAGGCGCGGTGGGTGTCGGTGCCGGGGCGTGTGAACGCTGTGACATATGCGGTGTGT